TCAGCGAGTACACGTACACGGGCGCACTCTCCGTGGTTAGCAGCTAGGATGCTTAGTTCAACGCTACTATTACTATTTCTACCATCACTAATATCAACAGTATAGTAATACTTCCGATTTACTGACTTTTACAAGTAGCTTGTTAAATTTGGTATAAGTTAATGTTGTAATTGTCGAAATCAAAAAGGTAGAAGATTACATAAATTAAATGTCAATTTCTGAATTTGCAATGCCTAAATCTGAATTAATTAAAATTATTTAAAGAAGGCATAAGAAAGAGAACATTGTAAGATTTTCTAGCGATAAATTACGAAAAGATGTCTTCTTGAATTACGAAAATGATATGGCACAATAAAAACACTAGTACCGTTTCTTAACATTCCAGCTGAGGCCGTACGATCCAGAACTGATCCTAATCCCAGAAGACGAGAGCGGGATAGTCCCCGAGACGCTGGAGGCGGTGCTGGAGAGCCGCGCGGCGCGGGGGCTGCGCATGCCGCGGCTGCTGTACGTGGTGCCCACCGGCAGCAACCCCACCGGCCTCGTCATCCCCGACCACAGAAAGAAGCACATCTACGAGCTGGCCTGCAAATACGACTTCCTCATTTTAGAAGACGATCCCTACATGTTCTTTAATTATACTGGAGTAAGTTTGTTTTAATTTTTCTTTTGAAGTGTAAGTGCAAACAAACGGTTATACTTTTATACTTTTAAAGAGTTTCCAAAGAACATCTTAACTACTAGGGCTAATGATGTAACCAAAGAGATTTAAAAACACATAGAGGAAGGAGACATGTTCCACATGATCCACTAACCCCGTCTATTGATAGTTCTTCAAAACCACAAGCTTGTTATAATTTTGTACAATGTTATGACATGTCAATACAAGGACATGAGGTGGCAAAAAACTAACGTACCTTTCAAAGAAGTTACCGGTGACAAAACGTTGTTCCCTATGCCTAGTGTACATATAGCAGTCATCGTGTGTGTTGTGTCAGGTGCGCACGGTGTCGTTCCTGTCGCTGGACGTGTGCGGGCGCGTGCTGCGGCTGGACTCGGCCAGCAAGGCGCTGAGCGCGGGGCTGCGGCTGGGCTGGCTCACCGCGCCCGCGCCGCTGCTCGCCCGCGCCGAGCTGCACTCGCAGGCCGAGCTGCTGCACCCCTCCACTCTGTCGCAGGTAGCAGGCTCACGCATATCTATGCTAATATTAAAAGAGGAAAGATTTATATTTTTATATGTATTAAAATTCCTCTAAAAATACAGGGCCGATTTTAAAAAATCTTGCACCATTAAAAAGCTATGTTATCAGTGTGTATATTAGTAGAGTGGGTTAGTTTTATAATTCCACTCAGATAGGGTTGCAAGCAACAGTTAGTGTTGCTATAATTCAGTGTTTCATTTTGCCACATTATGTTGGCCTTAACGTGCTTAGTAAGTTTATGACAAGGAATTGAATATGTCTTAAAGAAAATCCGTTCGTTGTCAAAAACAGTTCCCGTGTTCTCGGCGTCAGCGCATTTAAACATTACAGTCATTAAAGTTGTTTTAAATAAAAGTAACTTAAAAAAAAAAACTGTTGCATTATATCTAGATATTTATTTAACCTTAAGTGGCTTTATGATAATATTCTGAATGAAATGTTAATGATAAAAGCGATGTCGCAATCTGCGCATTATAATATTGAAGATGATGACACATCATAATTTGTTATAATTTTGTTTTACTGGTTTGATGACGCATGCTATTGTAAAATGTGACAACAACACAAGCAGTGGCGCACTCTGGCGGATAACGTGTTATCGTTTTAATGTAAATATTATAAAAAAAAACCGGCCCTTATCGTTATGGATCAATGATCTAACTTGACATTCGTTATCCGCATTTTACTGAAGTCACAACATTAAAATAACTGTAAGATAAATAATAATCATATTGTATTAACATTGACGGGGATTTAATAAGAATATTAGTAAAAAGTATTTGTAACGTCATGGACAAAAATATATTTTTTTCAATGTACACTACTGCCCGCTAGGGGCGCTGCACATAATAAATATAAATTTTGTTGAAGAAAAAACGAGTAATTTCCATAAATCTTCTTCCTATGTCCCCAACACTATAAGTATCTATACGTTGATTCGTTGTTCAAGAATCAACATTGTATTCGACAAGGCAGTGTACAATATAGGTTTATAATTTGTACTAATGACAATTTGCAGGCGATAATCCTGCGCG